TGACAAAATTAAATAAATAAATAAATAAATCATGAAATAAGTAATTTTATTGTGTTTTTAATGATGTATTTAATAATTAAATGGTACATTTCATTATTATTTATTTATTTTATTTTGTCACATTCCATCCTCCACAGCTGGGTGCTTGGCCCCTGAGCTCTTGGCTTTCAGTAACTGTGGCCCCCTGATCAATTGAATTGAATATCCCTGGGTATTTATGCTAGCTGTGCTACAATACATAAAAAACAGGAAATAGAAGAAAATCCTGGAAATGTTGGCCAGATCATCCATCTGAAAGAAAATATATTGTCCAATTCACTATGTGGCCCTTTGCTTTAAACAGCTGAATATGGACTTCTGGAAACAAAGATTTGACCACCAATGCTTCAAGAGGTGCTACTTTTTAAAATATATTTTTATACTTTTCAAGACCACTTTAAAAGCTTACAAGAAGGTGTTTTCTTCCAACAATACCAGTGAAATATATTCTGGCTACAGCTCAGAAAATCGTATCAGTTGGTAGGTTTAATGAAAACTTGTAGCAGGTGTGTTCAAGAAGAAAAGATGGAGCTTGAGGGGACGTTTTGTTTCTGGCACCAAGCAGGTCGCTCAGTATTCCACAGGCCCGTTCTTCTTTTCACGACTCGTACAGCAGAGGTTCAGGTCCAGCCCTTTCACACAACACCAAACCCAAACAATAGCAGAACGTGGGCCGCACCAGCTGCTCTGGCTGGCCTCCAAGCTGTCCCCAGGGCCAGAGAGGGTGAGATTTATTAGACGTCGCCTGCAGCAGCACTAATCAGCCTCAGCTGGCTCGCTTCCCTGAGGCCAGCGGCAGAAACCACACCTCACCGCAGGATGATCACTTCTGATGACATCATCGAAGGCAGGAGGTCCAACAGATGTGTCACTCCTCCATCAGCTCAGAAAGGAGGTCACAGTTAACAGGAGATCAAGTTCTTTAGTGTTGACCTGCACTTTTACTCAAACCACGAGTCCAACGTCTGCAGCTTTAAGTCTAATCTGCATCAGGCACAAAGCATGAGGTTAGAATTAATGTTGGCTGTTTTATAAACCGGCTCTATTTTAGCCGTTCGCTCATCAAAACCTTCAGCTCTTTCCAGAGATGGGTGCAGTCACTTTTTAGTTTTTGTAACTTATACATTTCTTTTTTTTTTACTTTATTTACAAGTATTTCCCCATAAACACTCATGGAAATCTCTTTGATTTCTCCAATAGCATCGTCCTCTTTGAAATCTGCTTTAGCTACTGGCTCCATTTGTCTTCTTACTTTACGCTTTTAGCTACTGTTCACTATATCATTCTGCTACTTTTAGTTTTTAGCTAGATTTAGGCTATTTTTAGCAAGCTGTTCCCTACTTTTAGCTACTGTTCTGCTGTCTTTAGCTTTTAGCTAGCATTTTGTTACTTGTAGCAAGCTGTTGGTCTATATTTAACATTTAGCTAGTCTTTGGTTTTGTTTAGTCACTGACTAATTTTAGCTACTGTTCTGGTACTTGTAGGTAACCTTAGGCTAAGTTTAGCAACCATCCTGTTACTTTTATCTTTTTGCCAGCATTTTGCTACTTTTAACTACCGTTCTGCTATTTTTAGCTCGCCCTTGTCTATTGTTAGCTATCGTTCTGCTACTTTCAGTTTTTAGCTAAAGTTGGGCTATGTTTAGCAAGCTATACCCTACTTTAGCTACTTTTCTGCTGTATTTAGCTTTTAGCTATCATTTTGATAGTTTTAGCAAGCTGCTTTAGCTTTTAGCTAGTCTTTGGTTTTGTTTAGCCACTGACTAATTTTAGCTACTGTTCTGATGCTTTTACTTTTTAGGCAGCATTTTCCTACGGTTAGCTTCTAGCAAGCCATTTGCTACTTTTAGCAATCCTGTTGCTAACTCTAGCCACCTTCCTGGTACTTTTAGCCATTTGTCACTTTCGGCATGTGTTTTTCTACTGGGTAGTTTTTTATTTAGTTGTTTTTTGCTGATTCCATCTTTGTGGTACAATGTGCTGCTGTTAAAAAGGCTATTCAGGATGGAGCCACACGTTTTAAGAACAGAGCAGTGTTTTGTGTGCTTGGCTTCTTTGGTAAAACTGGAAGTCTTTACGTGCACACGGAGTCAAACCAGCAGCTCTTTTTTTTACTCAGAACCAAAGTGAGACGGGAGAGTCATCCAGAGTTTACTCAGGGTGTGGAGATGTCATTTAACGTTACTCACTCTCTGCAGAGAAAAGGGGCACGGTTGGCCCTGGTTTTTACTCTTTTATCACCGTTAAATAAACATTTTGTGATATTCCAAGAAACCGACGGTCAGTCTGGTCCTTATTCACCCTCATGACAGCCCCTCTGAACGTTTGACACCTAAACTTGTCTGCAGGGAGAAACAAACAAATAAAAGAGTTCTCTGTGGGACCTCGACTCTGTCTTTAATGGAAATAGTTGTTTTTATTTTGTGTCACAGGATGGTAGAACAGTGGTATACGTCAGTTCCTTCACCTTTCTTCATCTGTGCTCAGTCCTGACTCGTTATTTGCACAGAATGACTCAGTTTTGGTTTAGGGAGGATTTGTTGCTTTTCTCCTGCTGTGAGGTTACTGAAAATGAAAAGGACCGGAAAAAAAAAATGCTCATACTTGAACTTTTGATGTTCAAATACCTCAGAATGACACACTTAGCTCGTTTCTATTTCAAGGTAGGAAACTTAGCCCAGTTTGTGGAGTCAAATTGAGAACCAGCTGACTTAAAGCTAAAGTTGGCTCGGTCCAAATTTGATTCAGAGCTGGGTTCTTCTGAATAGGGCTGGTTTTAACCCATCAGTTTTAAGTGTGCCTTTTATACACAACTTATCATTGTTTCTGTTCCAGAACCAGCTAAAGATGGGACAAGAAGCCAACAAAAACACTTTAGTTTTTCCAGCTTTCATTGATTTTATTGTGTCTACGTCCAGCAATCAGTGGACGAGAGGCGGGGGACACTCTGGACAGGTCCCCAGTCCATCACAGGAACACACAGAGACAATTAGTCCATCCGCCTCACGTCAAGGAACGATTTAGCGTTGCCAGTGAACCCAACCAGAGTATCCGGAGAAAACTCACAAATCAGACCCTGTGAACGCCATGAAGGAAATCGAACCCACAACCTTCCTGCTGCAAACAACAGCGCTAACAAAGTGCAACACTTACTAGAGGAAAATAGCTGAAAAAGCAGAACGACTTTTTGCAGATCTGTCACAATAAGATAGTTATCAACAAAAAACTGCCTCTAATAAAAGTTTGGTGCCTTAATCGGTTTAAGAAAATGGAAGTTTTGGTATTTGAGGACATTTAATTTGTAAGTAACAAACAATCTGATATATTTTATGGCTGTTTTTTATTAGAAATTACATTAGAGTGCAACTTAAATCTTTATATACTTTCAATGGGGCCTTTTGAATTAAATTTCCTGCAAATATGAATTATATTTGAATAATTCAATCATTAGAAGCTAAATAAAAAGGGTCAGGATGATTTTGTGGCTCTATGTAAATGCAGTTCAGTGAGACAAAGGATATGAATTATCTGATGTGATTAAATATTTTACACTGAAGTTCTTCAAGGAAATTATAGAGAATTTCGTAATATTTGCAGAGTGACGTTCTTATCTAACGGAAGTACGCACCCACGCGCGCACACGCACACACTTCAGCCCTACAACTTGAAGTTTTCCTCCTAACCTTTCACTTTAGCAGATCAGCGCTCCGTGCAGCAACATGTCTCCGTCTAATTGCTGGATTTTGTGCGCTGCCTCGCTCGCCTGCCTTGTCTGTTGTGGTTCCTGCAGAAGACATAAAGGTAAGATGACTCGAAAGGAAAAAAGAAGAGAGACACATTGCGTTGGTGTGCACACTGCTTTTGTTTCATTTATTCTGATTTTAAGAGTTCACGCGCTTCTTCTGAGTTCCTGCGCAAAAAGTTGTGCGTAAAATGGAGCCACGCGTCCTGCCTTTACCCACACAGAATCAGGCCAGTAAAGGATTTTAGATTCAACTTTTTGCGACTCTTGATCATTTCTGTAAGCCTTATTTGTGATCTGGGGTATATATGTAGAGAAATTCAAACACCAAACTGCTTTTTCAACAATTTACGCGCCGTAAAAGTGACAATTTTGATCAAGAATCGGTGTAAAAGTCTGTTCATCACCAACATATATGAGTTTATTTACTTTAAAAACATCTTTAAAGTCCCGCTCGGTGCCAACAGAACAGTTTATATCGTCTTAGTGGCTGTTAAAATTATTATTGGCTTCAGGAATGTGACGTTTGAGTCAAAGTCCTTCAGATCCCTCACCTGAACCACCCAGAAACCTCAACCTGATCTGGATCTGAGGTTGCTCAACACAAGCTCTGAGATGAGGCTGCTATACAACCAAGAACACACACACACACACCCCACACACACACAAATCAAAGTTGAGACTCTTTTGTTGTTATACTCTCTCTGAAGCAGATTGCCTGATTTCCTCCTCCAGGATTCACTGAACTGAAAAAGTCCAGAAATGTCACTTCAAGTGTTGCAGGTCAGAGTTTGTGGATCAGCTGAAACATGTACTGTGTTTTAAATGTCAGCAGCCGCCTCTGATGGACTCACAGAGTTTCTGCACCGTTTGTAGAAGGAACGCAACATTTTCCGGTTGTTTCCTCGAAGCTTTGAAATCTTCCCAGACAGAGGGTCGTCACGGCAATGACGAATGATGAGATAAAATATCAGCATTTGTTTTCATTCTAGTTTTAATCAAGAAAAGTTCAAAACGTGCAGCTGCAGGGCCGTATTAAACTGCTAAAAGGCCCCTGGGCAGATCTCAAATGTGCCCCCCCCCTTTGACTACACAGTGTTTGTTCTGCATTTTATATCCAACATGATTCCAGTTGTTCCTGCATGTCTTTCACATCCAAATCCAGTCAGCAAGAACATTATGACCAACGACTGAACATTATTGTTTTTAGATTTCATTTCCTCGCATGAACTGCAGAAGCGCAATGTCTCGTTTGTGCAATAATTTTTTCAAAGTGTTTTATTTCAATAGCACGTTTAAAACGGCTGACGTTGACCAAAAGTTCACTGCAGTCGAACCAGATGACAATGCAACAAAATATAAAACAAAAATCAACAGTAAAAGGGCAATAAAATGTATAAAAAACACAGGAAAATGAGATAAAACCTGTGCTTTGTTTAAATCAAAGGCCAAATTGGAAAGTTGGGCCTGGTTGACCAAAATGCTTGTCCTGGTAGATTTTCAAAAATATATGCTGAGAAAAGACTGTTTAAAACTTTAAACGTTAATATTCATTTTTTTAATTAATCTGCAAACAGCCAATAAAGACACAATTTTATTCTTTAAAGAGTCACAAAGTCATTTTGGGCGTCTCCAGATCGTCTCCGGAGCTCTAGAGCTGGACTTTGTCTCCTATACAGGAACTCTCCTTTGAGAGAAAACACCTGAGGAGGACCAGGTCTAAAAATCACGCTAGATTAAATTTATAAATGCAGAAGCGGCTGCCATGGTGGGTAGAAAATAACAAGATAATGTGCACGTCCATGAATACAGATGTGCAGAACATTCAGAGATTAAAAGAACTGCTTAAAACTCGGATGCACGGCGGATCGGTTGCTCGGTCGCACTCAGGGTTCAAGGAGGTCGCAGCAGAGAATCCACACATTTTATGGAAATTCCTTCACAGTTCCGAGTCAGCAGTTCATCTCCCAGCAGCAGCAGCTCAGTCAAATACCACCATAAGTCTAAACTGGTCCATTTAGGAAGGTATGTCAAAAGGGAACAGTTTTGTTCTCCGTCTTTATTTAACGATACAATGGAAGATATTGTCAATGTCAGTTTTATTTATACAGCACATTTAAAACAACAATGCTCATCAAAGTGCTTCACAGACAGGAAATCAGCTATAAAATCAATGAACGATCAAACAGTAACATGTATATGATTATCGTATTGGTCATATTTGACACCAGAACTTCTTGTAATGGCAAAAGTATGCAACCTTAGAAAAGGCTGGACTCCAGCGAGTGAAAGATGTTTAGCATTGATAGCTTCTGCGGCTACGTTTTACTCAAGTCTAAGTAACCAGTCAAAGTTTTAGTCCTAAAATTAAATGAATAAATACATAAAATAGTGTCCCTTGCAGGAATGTATAATAGGGATGTGTGATATGGCGTAAAATTCATATCACGATATGTATTGTGAAGGGTGGCGATAACAATATATATCACAATATGTTTTTAGTATAAAACTTGCAATAGGAATGAAAAATTTTGCCATCATTTATTTTGAAAACTTCTATACCACAAAATAATCTCAATTAAAAAAAAATCCACCACTAGGTCCAGAGAGTTTTTAAATAATACACAAATCAATTATTAGGCTTCTTTCTTGTAGTGCAAAACAGTGCAAAAGATATCAAATGCAGTTTTAGTCATCTGTTTTAAACAAAAGAATATGTTGTTAACTCTTAATAGTTTCCAGTCTCACTTAAGAAATGAACAGCAACAGAGCAGCATTTTACACTGAAACACTTCACCCTCTAGCGGGCGTCTCCTTCCGCTTTAAGCAGAGCTGACACAAAATGGCGACCAGTTTCCTCTGTGGCTTTGACCAGAGGGTCACGCAGTAAAATCACACAACACAGCGTGCGTTTCACAGCTCAGAGAGCAAGTTTCTCTAAAGCTGACCATCGCTTACTTTAACTTTCGACGGAAAAAAAAAAAAACCAAAACAACTTTCGATGGAACACAGCGTTTTGCGCATGCGTCCGAATATGGCAACACTACGGCAAGCCGGCCGTAGTTAACTTTAAACTTCGCTACTTAGCTCTTGAAGAAAAGACGTTACCACTTACGCACAGTTTTCAATTAAAAAATAGTAACAATTAAATGTGACAACTCTGATTTTACATCCGACACAGTATTACTGCTGTTTGCCGGTAGAAGACAGATCTTTATCATCTAGGCTAAATATCTATTGTTTCTACCGTGTACCATCTATATCGCGCATTCCTAATGCATATCACTGCAGGCTAAAGTTTTAAACAGAGCTTATTTTTTTCAGTTCGTGCTGACAATGTATCGCTTGTGTGCATGCATGCCCATTTGTCTGTTAGCAAAATATCTTAAGAACCACTTGACAGAGTTGGTGTGGTAGTAGCTGAGACTGATCCCCATCGCATATGATTATTTAAAAATAACCATGAACAGATGTGAAAACTGTTTTACTCTGAAGAATCGACGCGCTGTAGCTGTGGTGGAATGTAAATGCGTGTCCTTTGTGAGGCTTTGGGGGATTTGTTTTCATTTTGGAGCAAAGATCTAGACAAGTCTGCTGAAACATCCTTTCATCCATGTTTGATGCTGGCTTCCTGAGCAGCAGGGGTCACATGACCATCTCTGGGAGGCCTACACTGGAGCCTTTATCTCCTATAGGTTGACACATAATTGGCATTTTTCACAAGGGAAAATGACAAAAAATGAAATTCTAATTTAGGATAATCCCTTTTTCCTCCAAGCCTCCATGACTCACTTTGGTTTGAGTTCAAAAAAGAAACTGATGTGTTTTTAGGCTGGAAGGTTTGAACCCTCTGTTCAGCTGGACACACGGATAAGGCTGCGCTACAAGTTTCCCACACGAGTCGGGTTGCTGATAAACCTGAGCTTTAGTCGAGAGGGAGACATCCAGGAAATTATGCATCTTACAGATTACTGAACTAGAGAAAGAAATAGGACATACGAGGGAGATAAGTTTATTCTCATGGAAATGTGTGGCGTTCAGAAGTGTTGCTGTCGTATGTAGAAAGGCTCGGCCGTTAGTGACGTTCCAAGTAAAGTAGTTCTTTATCAGACCGACCCTGGTTTATTAGGAATAGGCTCAGAGTTATGTTTCCGTTTTCGTCACCTCATTGCATGGTATTTTCTTTAAAGTACAGCCAGTGAAACTTCCTTATATCAATTGCAATCAGTACTGAATATCGTCATCCCCGATAATTTTAGTCACTTTTACATTAGCTCCTTTGTTTACCGGATTATACAGATGGATAACCGCTATTGTTCTTGTGTTTTATTCCATCAACCTGTAGTTGTGTTGTGTTTAGGTGTGCGTGTTATCGGATTTTTGGCCGATGTCCGATATGCCGATATGTTAAAACTTATTTGGCCTCTAACCGATACCAATACCACTATTTTTTCCCCTGGACCTACTTACAGAGACTACATAGCTTTATCTGCTGTGGAATTAAAATACTACAATATTCTGCATGTTTTTTTGTCAATTTGGCCTGTTACCAAATGCAGATGGCAAAAAGGGGGCTGAAAATGATGTAACACCAACTTGGATTATGTTTATTGTAAGATTTATTCATGACATTTACTCTCTCTAACACAATGAGAACACTTGAACAATGCAAATTTGTAAATTTCCACAAATCTAAACTCAATGGCTCGCGTGATGTCATAACGTTGTGCTGACACTGCAGACATCCTTGTCATACAAAAACAGCGCCTTTTATATTGGCGAGTTATTTTGATGGAATGGTTGTTGTCCGCTATTTAACTTTATCGCTAATATCGGCCGATACCGATACCGTGCCGATAATATTGTGCATCCCTAGATGAGTTGATAACAAGTCCAGGAGGGAACCCCCTGACATCTGTTTTCTCAGCAACCTTCGTCAGGTCCTCTTGGAGGACCCCAATGTTTTCCCAGGCCAGAGAAGATATGTAATCCTTCTGGGTCAACACCAAGGTCTCTGCTCTCCATGTGGAAAACCTTCCATGTTATGTATAGTTATTTT